ACACAACGATTATATTGGCCATAACGATTGTATTGAAAACAATTATTATATTGAACACAACTATTATATTGAACACAACGATTATATTGGCCACAACGATTGTATTGAAAACAACTATTATATTGAACACAACGATTATATTGGCCACAACGATTGTATTGAAAACAACGATTATATTGAACACAACGATTATATTGGACACAACGATTATATTGGAGACAACGATTGTAATGATACTCCTATTATATTGAACACAACGATTATATTGAACACAACAATTATATTGGCCGCAACGATTGTATGGAAAAGAACTATTATATTGAACACAACGATCGTATATAATACAACGATTGTATATGATACAACGATTATGTTGGAGTGGTACGAAAAACAAAAACACGGCACTGGCTCCATACAAGGCCTGTCCCGGGGCTTGCACGGATACGGGCCCGCTGCCGGGAGGCCCTACGGAGCCTAGCTAGGTATCCTGCGCGTACCCCAAGTCCTGGCCCTTGAACTCCTCCACCACGGCCTTCAACCCGTCGGCCAAATGGCCCATGTTTCTGTTGACCGGCCTGAACTCGTCTAGCCATTGGCCCACCCCATGCTGGAGCACGCCACGTGCTCGGGCCTTGCCGTGGGCGCGGTGGCCATACGAGCCGTGGAGAGTCAAGCGCACGGCTTTGCTGGAGTACGCGGCCCGGTGCAAGATGTTGTTGTTGTAGAACACGATGTCCCCGGGGCGCAAGTCCACGGTGATTTGCCCGCTGATGGGTTTCTTCCTACTGTCGTCCGTGGTCTTGTCCCTCTCCTCTGCCGTGCGGAGCCTCTTGTGGGAGCCGGGCACCACGATAAGACACTTGTCGTCCGTCAACGCGAGGTTGAACTGGGTGCCCGCATAGGGGTCAGCGAGCAACTGCTCGGCCTCCTCCTGCGGCGACACCTCGGGCTTGATGGAGTCGCGGTGCCAGTCCAACTCGAAGTCCGTGAGCGGATTGATGAGCATGTTGAAAAGCTCGAGGGCCAACCCACGGTTGTCCGTCTGCAAGATGTCGCCCGCCACGTCGAGCAACTTCGTGTCCGAGTATAGTTCCTGGAACGGCACGGACATGTCGCCGAGCTGCGGGTGCATGAGCCCCCCAACCCCCCAGATGTCGGGGCTGTAGTTCTCGGGCCAAGGAGGGAACTGCTTGCCGCGCGTGCGCACGTCTTTCCACTTCCCGGCCCTGGCGTGGTCCACGATTCTTTGCGCGGCGGCCCTGTACTTGCCGATTTCGTCTTGGCTGAGAAAACCGCGGATCACCGTGAAGCCCACCTCTGCGATCTGGTCATGGTGGAAATGGGAGACAGCCATGGGGAACAAAATTTTGGTTCGACCGGTTGGATGGTGGCTATTTTGTTTTTAAGTTTGTGTTCTTGTTTTTTTGTTTTGTTTTGTTTTTTTTTCGTTTTTGGATAGGGAGCCTTTTTCAATGACTCTCTTGCTTTCCAACAGGCACTTTATTCTTGGGGTTTTTTTTTTGTTGCATTGGATGTTCACTCCATTCAAGACGTATTTATTCCTTCCCGTCCTCGTGGTTACGGTCCACGGGGCCGTGCGAATGCGTTATCTTTCCGGTGGCCTGGCGCCTCTCCGCATTCCGAGCCGCTCGTGACGTTGCATTTTGCTCGCGCCGGGGAAAAATGCAACCCGGAGCCCCATGCAACCACATACGAGCGCAGCAGGAACCAAACGCAGCAGGCTCGGAAATACAACCTGGGGAGCAGGTGGCAGTCGTACTAGTCGGACGAGTCGGCATGTTGCGGCTGCTTTGCCCCGCGTCGACGGGGTCCGTCTTTGGTGGCTTATGTGTCTGGGGATCTCCAGCAGATATTCATAGAAGCAGCTCATATCAGATCTTCATATAAGCAGCTATTCATGGAAGCAGCTATTCATGGAAGCAGCTATTCATATAACCAGCTATTCATATAACCAGCTATTCATATAACCAGCTCATAGAAGCAGCTCATAGAAGCAGCTCATAGAAGCAGCTATTCTTGTAAAAAGTTACCCATACCAGCAGCCACCTATAAAACGCAGGAATGTTGCCAAGGACCCTTTTGGATCTGCATAGGCTCCCCGGCGCCGTGCCATATAAAGAGGGTCCAGGCGCCAGATCAACTTGAAAACCGCGCGCTATTCTCGCTCTCACTATAGCCTCACTCGCACTCCATCAAACATCGGATCATGTCGCTTCGCTGGGGAATACTTGGCGCAGGCAATATCTCGGGCCAGTTTGTGCACGATTTGGTCGCGAGCAACAAAAATGGAGACAACGCCCACGTGATCATCAGCGTGGGCTCTTCCGACACGGGCAGGGGCGAGTCGTTCTTACAGAAGCACGGCGTGGCGCCCGAAAGCAACCAGGGCGTGGCGCCGGTTGCACAGATATACACTGACTTTTTCTGTAACCCGCAAATAGACATTGTTTACATCGGCACCCCCCACACGTGCCACAAGGACCAGGTAATGCGGGCCTTGCGCCACGGGAAACACGTGCTTTGTGAAAAGCCGTTCACCGTCACGGGGGCGGATGCACGCGAGGTGTGGGCCGAGGCTGAGAAGAGCGGCTTGTTTGTCATGGAGGCTGTCTGGACGCGTTTCTTTCCGCTAGTCGGCCATGCAAGGAGGCTTCTCCATGAGCAGAAGGTGTTGGGCGATGTGCATCGGATGACGGCCGATTTCTCCATGGCCGCTGATGTCGCCAGCCTCCCCAAGACTTCCAGGGCACGTGACATCGGTCTTGCTGCTGGAGCCACGCTAGACGTTGGCATCTATCCCTTGACATACATGCGGGCGCTATTGGCCGGGTCCAGCAGCGCCGGATTCGAGGTCAAATCGTTCCTCACGCTTGATCCTGAGGACCGCGTTGACCACGTGGCCACGTACATTGTCAAGTTTGACGATGGCAAGCAGGCAGTGCTCACGAGCAGCAACCATGTCGATGGGCCGTCGCCTTTTCTCAGGGTGGAAGGAACGCACGGCACGTTGGAGATGTATGCGCACAACCCGGCGCAGCCCCAGAAAATCCGTGTTGTTTACAGAGACGGCAGGGACGATCTTGAACTCAGGGATGACACCGTCACGTCCGGCTACAACGGGTTTATTCACGAGGCGAACGCTGTGGCGGCGGCGATCAAGGCAGGCCAGAAGGAATGTGCGGTGATGCCTTGGAGCGAGACCCAGCTCATGATGGACACGATGGACCAGATCCGGTGGGAAAACAAGCTTTACTACAAGGAGGACAACCGGTGACCCAGACATGGAAGTGGAATCTGTCAATGTGTTTCTCTTACACGTTGCGCATGGCTCTTGGAGAGGTCAACATCGCAGGGAACATGCAGTGAGAACTAATTAGGTAGATGCTTCGTACAACACCACACGGACAGAATCCAAGAAAGAAACAATTGCCCCAACACAACCGCCCACAGACAATCTGGCAGGAGAAACTAATGCCCTGGAGACGACTATACCAAGAGGGAATTGGAGGGCACCGGGCAGGTGCAATCGGCGGGTCACGTGCCCCGCCAAAATTTTCCATGGCGCACGGTCGCAGAGTAAAAGCCAAGGCCCGTTTCTCGCCTCCATCTCCTCCAGCCCCACAGTAAAATACATGAAGATGGCCACGTTCCTCTCCAAATTCACCAAGCTTCCCCTCAGAGACGTCTCGAAAGCCGTGGACTCGGCTTTTCCCGAATTGTCCGCGGAGGGAAAGGCGCTTGAGGCCCAGTTCCACACTCTTTCCAGTAGATTGGACGAGCCCGAGACCTTGGAGATCTTGAACAACGACTTGAGAAGCAAGACGTTTGTGGCCGGAAACGCGCCCGCCAAGGTGGATGTGCAGCTCTTCTCCAAGGTTTTGCCTGTCGCTCAGCAGTGGAAATCCGCCGAGGAATACGCCAAGTTCAGACACATCTTGAGATGGGCGGACTTGGTGCAGAACACCTTGGTCGAGGTGCCTGAGGCCGAGAAATTGAAGGTAGACGTCGACGCCACTGTGGCCAGAGAAGTCAAGGAGAAGAAAAAGCCCGCCGACAAGGCTGCCGGTGCCGAGAAAACGGGTGCCAAGGCAGCTGCTCCAGAAGCCGCCAAGGAAAAGGCTCCGCAGGACAAGAAAGTCGGAAAGGGCCAGGCCATTTCCGAGGCCGACAAGAAGGCCAGCGCTGAGGCTGCCAAGGCCAAGAAGGAGGCCAAGGCAAAGGCCAAGGCCGAGCAGCAGGCCAAGCAGCAGGCCGCCGCCGTGCCTCCTAACCCAGGCATGATTGACTTGCGTGTGGGCTTCATCCAAAAGGCCGTGAAGCACCCGGACGCAGACTCCTTGTACATGTCGACGATCGACATGGGCGATGCCGAGGGTCCCCGGACTGTGTGCTCTGGGTTGGTGAAGTACATTCCCTTGGAGGACATGCAGGAGAGATACGTGGTGTGTGTGGCCAACTTGAAGCCTGTGTCCATGAGAGGCGTCAAGTCGTGCGCCATGGTGTTGTGTGCGTCCACCGAGGACACCGTGGAGTTTGTCAACCCACCTGCCGGGTCCAAGCCCGGCGACAAGCTTTTCTTCGAGGGCTACAACGCGGAGCCTGAGAAGCAGTTGAACCCTAAGAAAAAGGTATGGGAGGCTGTGCAGCCTGGGTTCTCCACCACCGAAACTTTCGATGTTACTTACACCGTTGAGGGCAAGGAGCCAGCGAGATTGGTCAACGCCCAGGGCGAGCCATGTAGGAACTCCACGCTCGTGAAGGCCGACGTGAAGTAAGCTTCCGCGGATTCCGGGCCGAAGACACTGCTGTGTGCTGGCTGAGGGGGGGGCGCTGATCGAAAAGATAGTTGTAATGAGAACAAGTTATAGTGAATGTGACAGAACAGAAATATGTGAGAAGGGAGCAGTGGCACATGGAGAACCCAGGCAGAGCTGGTGCGGGCTCAGTCTTTGCCGTGTGCAAGGACACTGCTTCCCGGATAGCAGACACCTAATTAACGCAGGTGGGCTTCGTGGGTTCCTTTCCTAGATGTATCTTGACGTCAAGTTGCGATGTTTGGCAGGTTTTCTAGACATCTTCACAGCCACGTGAAGACCCTCTACGATTTGTTTGGTGACGGTTTAAGTGTTACGAGTGACAACTCAAGAAGCGCCCTTTGACCTTGCAGGCGGCCAGCAATCCTCATATGCTACTGGCTACATATTCGCCCTGAAGCAGAGGTTCGTTACAGACGCACATGTGTAGAAAGAGTGCAAAACTTTACGTATCATATTACATTAGCTTGCTAGGGATGATTGCAACGCGTTTCTTCTGAACCCGCTACCTGCCGAATTATACATGCTGAGACCAGCCGCACCGAAATTAGCGAGCAGCAAAAAAAGGTGACGTGAGCTGCGCAATCAGTACCCAATCATCACCTGCTCTTTTGTCAGAAGACCCCACAACAAAACTCCCAAGACCCTGAGCGGCACTTTGGCTAAATATACAGCTTTCGTACACAATCAATGAAGCTTCTCGACAAGACAATTGCACTAGAGAAAGACAAAAGTGGTCTGCTCTCACTAGTGCCGCAAGATAAAGAAGATCTCTGGCAACTCTACAACCTCATCCAAAAAGGCGATGTGGTGGAACTCCTGTCGATTCGGAACGTCAAGAAGACCGAGGGCGGAAAGGCCGAGCGCGTTCACGTGCGCTTGAAACTAGCTGTGGAGTCCGTAGACTATGCTCCCAGTGACGAGGCCATGAGGATCAGAGGCAAGACGACGGAACAGAGCGAGTATGTTCCAAACCAAAGCTACCACACCGCCGAGGTGCAGCTCAACAAGTCACTCAAAATCAACAAGCCAGAGTGGGATGACATTAGCTACGGCATTGTTTTGGAGGCCTCCTCCGTGGAAAAAAAGGCCGAGGTGGGCGCTGTAGTATTGCAAGAGGGCGTGGCGCATCTATGCTTGGTCACTGATAAAATGACCGTGCTTCGAAACAAGATCGAAAAGGCGATCCCCCGGAAAAGCCGCGGCGATGCCGGAGGCAGTGCCCATGACAAGGCCATGGCCAAGTTCCTCGACATGGTGCAACTGACGCTCAGTAGAAACTTTGATATCGAGAAATTGAAGGTCATCATCTTGGCCTCGCCTGGTTTCACGGCGCAGGCTCTCTATAAAGCGCTTTTGGATACGGCCATCAAGGAAGACAACAAGACAATTCTCAAAAACAAGTCCAAGTTCTTGGTCGTGCACTCGTCAACGGGGTATCTTCAAGGTTTGGAAGAGGTACTCAAGGACCCAAGCGTGCAGAAGAACCTCAACAACACAAAATTTGCCAAGGAGGCCGCGGTTTTCGAAGAGTTCCAGAAGGTTCTTAACGAGGACGATGGCCGTGCATGGTACGGGCCAAAAGAAGTCGTGCGGGCTGTAGAATCGGGTGCCGTCAAGAGTCTTTTGCTCACAGATGCCCTCTTTCGCAGCGATGATATCGCCGTAAGAAAGCACTACATTTCTCTCAGCGAAGACGTGAAAAACCAGGGTGGTGATGTGTACGTGCTCTCCACTCTCCACGATTGCGGCGTGCAACTCGATCAGTTAACAGGTGCGGCTGTGTTGCTCAAGTACCCCGTTGATTTGGAGAGCGATGACGATGATGAAGATGAAGATGACGATGACGAATAGAGACGGGTTGATGAACCATATATACTGTTAATAGATAATGAGGGTGTTCGCTCCCAGACCTATTTTTCTCGTTCTTGTATCTCAATATTTATCGCTCACCATGAGGTGTATGGACCCGATGAAGGCCATGTCATATTACCCCATGTACTCCGAATGAGCATACATAGTGCTTCTGTTATTTGGCGTGAGTCAGGTTATGCCAGAGTCTTTGTAAGCACGAGATATGTGCCCCAAGTATAGCATCTGTCGACCTGGATCACATGATAAATAAGGTGAGAGTAATCACCTGCGTCGCCTTTCCTGTTCCCTATATGCGGCTCGTGAAGGCTCTAAATTTTTATATTACTGGTGCCGGCCCCAAATTTCGTATACCAGACATTGCCGCCCCGGCCGTATATCAAGGCGTCCTGGGCCATACCATAGCAGAGCGCCAAAAGCGAGCCCTTTTTGACAAAACTCCATTTCTGCACTCGCGTCATGTGATTGGCAGATCCGAAAATATAGGAGGACACTGTGCCTACAGCTGTTGTGTTGAGAAAATCAGTGGTGCCACGCACATAGTCAAGGCCCGCCTCTAGACCCAAAAACGCAGATGCACCAGCGGAGTATTTAATGGCTAACGTGGCCGCCTGCCTGAATCCGGCTAAAAGCATGATGTAGTTTTTCTTTTTGTGATAAAAGTACCAACCGCCAACGGTTTTTGGGAGCCGGTGGGCATTTTCCGTGAGATACCGGAGAGATGATAATTTCACTCCATTGAAAAAGCCCTGTGCACTGCCTGCCATCGCCGCAATGGCTCCCACAGTCTGCAAGCGCTCTTGTGGATATAAATGAAGCCTCTGGTTAGGTTTCAGGTCTTCCATAATTGATGGTTACGTCTTTTCGTTTGTTGGGGGCTGGATTGAAAAGTCGAATAAGAGCCGGCATTTAGAAACTGGTTGAAGTCTACTGCCAGGACAGTGAGGTACGAAAAAAAGCGAGCATCATGCATAGGTCAATAGTTGGCAAGACGTCTCGGTACTCTGAAATAATAATAAAAGGCAACGAAAGAACTGATTTTTTTTGGTATTTTGGTTTTTTGGAGCCCTGTTCAACGATCGCCGTAGTAACATGTAGCGCTCTAGTTTGCAATTCATCAGGGACATTCAGATAGTCTACGTGCCCAGGGTCCGAATATCGTCCCGAGCAGTCTACAAAAATCTCAAGTGCTCAGAGAAACTAATTTACTCATTTAGAAGGGTATAAACTCGGCAAATAGTAATAGCAACACATTCATGGATTGTGCTCGGCGGAGTGAAACTGTGTTGTGCCATAGAACTCCGTCTGCGGCACTCGGAAGCGCCACAAATCCGGATATTTCTTCATTTACTGGTCCAAAATAGATTTGACAAACTCAACATAGTCCACGTTTCCATCGGCCGTGACGTTCACACCTTTCAACAATTCGTCCACTTCCAGGTCATTCAACTTCTCGCCAATCGACGTCAAAATGTACCGCAATTCACCCACGCCGATGTACCCCGTGTGGTCCTTGTCAAAGACTTGAAAGCCCTTGATGTAATCTTCAGGGAGTCCCAAAGGCTTGAATCCGTCGGGCCTGTTGATGATGTTTTGGTATGTTTCAAAGTCGAAGTCGCTCAGTTTTACAGATTCTTGCAACTCGGCAATTTCTGCCAATGTTGGGTTCTGGCCTACTGCCCGGAGCAAGTCGCCCAAGTGCTCAATAGGGATTTTCCCAGTGCCTTTCTTGTCGAAAAGCGCAAACGCGTCTTTGTAAGTCTTGGTGTTGGACTAAAAAATGGTGTGAGTATGTGGGCCGAGTATTGGGTTGACTATCCTAAAAGATATAGTCGGATGGAGGCATATGTGAGCGCATGTAATTCAATGCGCTCCTTTTCTTTGTGTTTCTTGACATACCATTTCTGAGGTGCGATACTAAGTTGTACTGAACTTAAGTTGACGTTGCTTCAAGACAAAACGAGATCAGTCAATATTTATGTATGCGTTAAGCACGTGACCCAGTCGCGCGGTAGTGTTGATGTGTTTTTCGCAGTCGTGGCTCAAAATATATTTCAACAACCTACTATTAGTTGGATTTCTATGAACAGTCCGCAATCTTAGCTTTCGCATGAAATTCAGAATTGTGATAATGAGAATAATTTTTTCAATATTCGGGGCTCTTGCCGTCCATTTGAGCTTGAGAAAGATATATCTGCATCGTTTTATTTGCGATACGAATTTCATGTAACGGGAAGTAGATCAGAGCGTTGTAGATCAGAAAGTCTTTTAAGCGCTTCAAAGAATAAGATTTCTGATCACATCAAATTCTGCGATGGCTATTTTGCAAATTCATGCATGTACACTGAACTGAGTGTTCACAACACGTGCACCAATCAAACAGAATGGTTGCTTCATGGAAAATTGACACAAGTTTTCATTCGGTTGTCACCATACAATTGTTCAAATGCATCCTTCATGTATATCATCCCCGGTCTCTTGTAAAGGATAAAAGTCTCTCGAAACATTCTACCCTGCTATCAGCAAGATCTAGCAACGCAAATATTAGACACTCAATGGTTTGCACAATATTCAACTTCACATCATCTCTAACAATTGAGTATGCTATTCAATCTGAGTAGAATCAACGGACATTTGCTCCACACCAAGAATTTTTTTCCTGAAATCGAGGGTGAAACATACAATTTATATAGAGTTTAATAACCGAAGGCACTCCATTCGTACACCGATCCTAATTATTTTTTCCATGTGTTCAGGGTCAATTACAAGGGAACAATGACATAGCTCTGGGAGCAAAATACACAATCCATAGTTTCGAAAACTTCTCGGTGCAATCACTTTCGAGCATCCGTACATTCCAGAACCTCAAGGTCGCGCCTATAGGCACAACATCATCTAGTGCACATACGACACTACGTCAAGAGGATTGTATAAAAACACCATTGCTTAAGTTTTGCAAGAAATACCCTGGCTTCTCCGAAGCTATGACCACTAATCTGCATGCAAAGCGTCGGAAAATAAATCCGTTTGTCCAACAGAATAATCTGTATTCTAAATCTAGTGGTCTAGCGCAGGAATCCAATGAAGACGCGTATTCAAAATTCAAACCTGGAAATCTTATTTCCCTCCGGATATGGAACTTCACCACGTATTCATATGGCGAGTTTCACTTGTCTCCGTCCCTTAATATGATTATTGGGCCCAATGGAACTGGCAAATCGACGTTTGTAGCAGCCGTGTGTTTGGGATTGGGCGGAAAAGTCGACTTGATCAAGCGGAAGTCCACGGACATGATGATCAAGTCGGGTGAAAAAGAAGCCACCATAGAAATTGCGATAAAAAACTTTCCAGGGGAACGAGTCATTGTCATCGAGCGCAAAATCATTTTGAAACAGATTAAGTCTCTTTGGAAAATCAACGGCACGCTGGTGGATATTGTGCGTGTTCGTGAAATCGTGAACAAATTCAATGTCCAACTTGACAATCTTTGTCACTTCCTACCACAAGAAAGGGTCGTGGAGTTTGCGTCGCTTTCTCCAGAGAAACTTTTGCTAGAGACCGAGAGAACTGTTGGAGATACCACGCTTTTGAAAAAACACAAACAATTGATTGAGCTCGATGAAAGATGGGTTGACCTTACAAAAGACGTACTGGTTTCAGAGGAAAAGCTTGAGATGCTAAGAGGGGACGTCGAAAAATTTGAAGTTGAAGCGCAGAAATACCAGGAGTTCGAGGAAAAGAACAATCAAATTAATTGCCACAAAAAGCTACTTCCGTATGCAAAACTCCAGGACATGAAGGATAAGTTGCAAAATTTACGAATTGAGCGTGAAGCTGCCAAAAAAGCCCTTCAAGATTTTGCTGGTAAAGTCAAGCCTTTGGCCACGTTGATGTCTACTGTGAACGAACAGCTTGCCCATGCGACAGAAAATCACAACAAGATCAATACAAAACTTAAGGAAATTAAAGCTGAGTTCGATCTACAGGCAAGAAAAGCAGAAAATATGGCGCTGAATTTCTCGGCTTCCCAGAACGATATCGAGTCTCTCAAATCACGCACAGAATTGCAGAAAAAAGAGCTTGAGAAAAGCGTTCACGAAAAAGAAGATATCTGCCGAAAACTTCAGTCGATGGAACCTTTAGACCTTTCGCAGTTGCAAGAATTTACTGTAAAACGCCAAACAAAACACGAAGAAAAGTCCCTGATAGTGGAGGAACTCGATACCGTGCATTTGTCATTGAGCCGCTTAAAACGAGAAGCACACTCCAGCGAGCTGATCTACAGAGATGATCGTAAGAAATTGGAGAGCAATGACCGATTGGAAATTCTCAAACAGAGAAGCTCGCGCTATCGTCGAGAACTTATGGACAACGCCTACGAGGCTCATTCTCTATTAAGAAAAGAGAAAACCCCAGATCTCAAGTATTTTGAAGCTCCAGTGGTGTGCTGCAAAGTCACAGATAGAAGGTATGCTAAATATTTTGAGAAAGTTATTGATAATAACTCGCTCTTTGCATTTTTCTTCGACCACGAGATGAATTATCAAAAGGCTTCGAAACTTCTACCAAGAAATCTCAATGTTCCCATGAGGGTTGTTTCCGGATCGCTTCCGCAGCAGCCAATGTCTCTGTCTGAGCTCAAAAGGCTAGGTTTCGACGGTTACTTATCTGAGTTTTTTACGGGGCCAGATGCCGTGCTCAAAGGTTTGAACCAAAGGTCTTTTTTGCATTGTATTCCAGTCTCACTTAATCCAATAGGGCCTGATGTGATGGAAACTCTTTTGAAGCCTGCAAAAAACGGAAAAACGCTTTTCCGCAGATTCATCGTAGGTGATGATTTGTTTGTTATCAATCAGTCGAAGTATGGGTCTAGACAAATCTTCTATCTGACAGAGGTTATTGCAAACGCACAAATAATGGGGGAAGAGGGCTTATCTGAAGATGTTAGGCGTGAAATTCAGGAGAGACTCGTCCGTCAGAGAGATGAACTAAAAGACATGCAAGAAAAAATCATGTCCTTAGAAACAGAAAAGTCCAAGTTTCAGGACCAAATTCTGAAAGTCGACGAAGAAATGAGTCAACTTGATCTGGAAGTCAGATCACTACGAAAGAAACAAGAGGCAAAGCTGAGATTAGAGGCAAATATATCTCATTTAGAAGGGCGTATTCGCCACCTAACCACTAGCACAACTCAAGACCATAGCGAGCAAATAAGGACAAAGGAAGCAAAATTGTTGGAACTCTATGTCAATTATTCAGCTGCCACAGAGAAGGTTGTGAATATTAATAAGGAGATGGTTTCCCAGACTATCAATTTCAAACGAGCTGAGCTTGTGAAGCAACAACTCGAAAACAAGGAATTGAATTTGACATCCTTGTTGAAGGAAGTGGAACAGAGACAAGTTGATCTCAGGGAGATCTACCGAAGCGCAAAGGCTAAATGTGATGAATATAAAAAAGGTGAAGCTGCAGAGGAAGTTCGACGCCAAGTCCTAACTCCTGAGGAGCGTGAGATTGTAAAAAACCTCGTGCAGAAATACATGGATGAAGATAACCTAAATGAGCAATTTGTTGTGCGAAAAATTGAGCAACTCGAAGACGACTTGACCGTTTTAGCGGATGTGGACCGTGGCTCACTTGATCTATTAAAACTGAAGAGGGCAGACCTTGATGCTGCTGAGAAACGATTACCAGAACTAGCTGCGCAAAGAGACCGCATAAAGAATCAGGTAGACGAAATATCTGTCCCATGGGAGAAAGAACTATCAAGCATAGTGGACAAAATATCCCGGGCCTTTCAAAAGAGGTTTGTTACCGTTGCAAGCGATGGGCAAGTTGAATTGAAAAAGCTGGAGCGCTTTAGAGACTGGAAATTGGAGATACTTGTCAAATTCCGTGAAAACGCTGAGCTTAAAGTCCTTGATAATCAGTCACAATCAGGAGGTGAAAGAGCAGTCTCAACCATTTTCTTCATCATGTCTCTTCAAGGTCTCACCAGTGCACCTATTCGTATTGTTGACGAAATCAACCAAGGCATGGACCCAAAAAACGAGAAGATGGCACACAAATATTTAGTTGATACTGCTTGTAAGAATGGGCAGTCCCAATATTTCTTGGTGACTCCCAAACTTCTTACAGGCTTATACTACCATCCAGACATGACCGTCCACTGCATTTTCACCGGCCAATACTTGAAGAAGAATGACCCCAAGAAGCCAGGAAAGTTCTTGAACTTTCAGAAAATCAGTGCTGCCACGGCATAGCTGAATAAAAATTCTCTTGGTTATATGATTGAGAGACTACTATTATATTTACATGTTTACACAACTAAATCGCTTATTAGGTTCACTGGTCAGATTTGCCGATGTCCAGAAGATACTTGATGGCTGATTCCAAGCGGTGCAAGTAGGTTTCATAGCCAATTGCTGTCAGGACATCAGCAATATTAACACCTGGGACCATTCCAGTCAATGCAAATCGAAGACTCTGCATAATCAACAGAGTTGGGTATTCGGGGCAAGCCTCTTCGATTTTTTCAATAGAGATGATTGCTTGCAGCTCCTTTGAAAGCTCTGTGATTGCCCGCAATATTGTGATTGTTTCACTGAGTTTCTTAGGCGGCTTCGCCTGGGAAAAGTCCACGTCTTTAAAGAAATATGGATGGACGTCAAGAAGATCCGATAATTTCTCAAGGTGTCCCATAGCAATGAAGATGCATTTCTCGAAATAGTCTTTATTGAATTGGCCGCTCGTTCTTTCCAGGAATGCTTGGTATTCCGTTTCTATAAGCAAGGGCGATTTTTGCGGATCACGGAGATTCTGGGCGAGATGCTGCTTGTTGAAGAAAAGCAACTTGTTCTCTGAAACTTTCACGTTGCCTTTGGTCATGTTATCCAATCTAAATTTCTGACTCATCTCTTTCAACGACATGACTTCTGTGACCTTCTTTCCCATCTCAGGTCTTGGTGGAGACCACCCGAAAAGCGCAACGAAGTTCACCAAGGCTTCTGGGAGAATACCTTTTTTTTCGAAACTTGACACACTCACATCACCGTGACGCTTTGAAAGCTTTTTGTCCTCGAGACTTGTCAAGAGCGGAATGTGCACGAACTTGGGCACGGACCAGCCAAACGCATGGTATAGCGCGACGTGTTTCGGCGTCAGCGTGAGCCACTCTTCGCCCCTGATCACGTGCGTGATTCCCATGAGGTGATCGTCTACCACGTTGGCAAAATGATAGGTGGGCAAGCCGTCCAGCTTCATGATCACGAAATCATCGTATCGGCGATCTGCATGGTTATACTGAGGCTGGAGGTCAAGTATTCCGTGGCGCAAGTCCTCTATTTTGTCATAGACTTCCGGAGCGCGGAACCTGATGACGTACTCCTGCCCGTCGTTATGGCCAGCAGTACTTTCTTCACCGTTGTGGAGACATTTCCGGTCGTAAGTGACCGTAGTTGGTGGCTTGAGTTTCTGTGCAGTCTCCCGGAGACTGAGCAACCGGTCTTTGGAGCAAAAACACTTGTACGCCAGGTTCTTCGCGAGTAAAACGTCCACGTACTTTTGGTATATGTGCCCTCTTTCTGACTGGCGGTATGGGCCGTGGGGACCGCCGATTTCGGGCGATTCGTCTGGATCGAGCCCTGCCCATTTGAGCGAGTCGTAGATATTCTGCTCGGCGCCCGCAACAAGCCGTTTCTGGTCCGTGTCCTCCAATCTCAAGATGAACGAGCCCTTTGTTTGTTTAGCTAGGAGGTAATTGTATAGAGCCGTGCGCAATGAACCTAAGTGTAGGAGACCCGTGGGCGAAGGTGCAAATCTGGTTCTTGCAGGCGAATCTGGGTGCACGGATTCCTTCCTTAGGGAAAGCAGCGGAAATGCCGTGGCTGCAGATTTGAGGGCGGATCTGGCACCCGATGTTGTTTTGGTGTCGGGCCCTGGGGTTCCGGGACGTAATTTCAGCAGGACAAGCGGGTTGCCCTTGATGCTGGGTGTTGGCCTGAGACTCGCAAGGAGCCGTAGCGAGAAGCGCATAGTAACACAGATTCCGTGGCGAAAATATGACCCAGCTCGTGATTGCCGGTGACTCGATTCTAAAGTGTTTTCCTGCTTCCTGTTCCTGGCAACTGGAGAAAAGTAAGATAGTTAGTCTGGCCTGCCTGAGACGAGTGCCTCAAAGTAGTTAGGTTGGGCCCCAGACTATGAGCGAGCCCAAGGCTCCATGCACACCTCTTCAATTGCCGCAAAATTTTCGACGAGCCAGAAGCCTCGATCTTCACGACAGTCCACCCAACGTCACACAACCAAGCTTCCGCCCCTCCATATTTCGCCTTGTAACCTTCGCCTCTATATCTGTATGTCTCAATACAACAGAAAACAACAGGCAGCACTGCCTGGTAACATATCGGTGTCGCAGCAGCAGCAGGCCCAGCAGGCCCAGCAGGCCCAGCAGAGCCAACAGAGCCAGATCAACACGCATAAAAGACACATCCAGCAGTTTTACCTCCACAAACTGTTTGACTTGCTGTCAGATGCTGAATTTCTTCCTTTGATTCCTTCCGATCCGGTGGCCACGGCAATCCAGGTCCAGGAAACAATGAACAGTACAATGGCCATGGCGCCCGGCTACATGAACCATGCGATGCAAAGACCAGATCAGATGGCTTTCTATGGGCAAGCGGTACTGAAGGCTAGGCGGCACAGTGGGCAGTTTTTGCACCAGCATCTCTTTGGTGGGAAAAGAAACGACTACGCCCAGTACAAGCAGGGCCCCTAGGTGACCAGCACGAGACATGCCTAGGTGGTGAGTCATGTGTTTCTCTACGGAAGGCAGCTAGTGCTAGCAGATTTTGTACGATATATTTATGGAAACAGGAACGGTTTTTGGAGAAGGCAGGCCCATTGATGGTATATAGGGACCAGCCACCACGACAGCGCCGGCGTGCTGGAGGCCCGAGCTTATAGAAAATAATACAGCATGTAATTTTTTGCCTAACTTTACATCCTGTGACTTGAAGAGGAATATGACTTTGTTGCTCTTTTGTTATTAGTCTGTATCTTCTATGCTCGGCCAAAGCAGACGCGGTTTAACGGCTATGTCACAAGAATCTCCCGGTAGCACACATACTTCAAGTTTGTTCTGACTTTTCGCAATATATCACTGAAAATTAAATGAAGCCTAGATATGTGACTTTTGTAGTAAGACTTGAGTCCAGCCATCGCGGGAACTTGGTGCCCCTGAAATACAAATCATGTTCCGCAATCTCTATCGCCATACATGGCCTCTATCTTTCCCGAAATTCTGTTGTTATAGCCGATCTAGGTTGTAAAAGATACAAAGAGAAATCTTAGATACAAAAACAAATCCTAAATTACACGACATCGTTTACTCACCGACTAGAATAATAACAGTGGGTGACACGGGTCATTCAAAGTATCTGCCCACGTAGACAATCAAGCTCAGACGGGGAAGAGACTTCTGATTAGATCTTATTCTTCTTTTTTTTTCTTTGCACTATTAACTCAAGAGAGAGTTTTAATGAGTGTCGTATTCCAGTACAGAGATCTTCTGAGCCGTGCTTTCTCTCAACAATCAACTAGCTCTATATCCATTATTTTATACATTTTATGCGCATGACTTCCTAACATCAAATCAAACCACCTTTTTGAGCGGCTAATATAACATTCTCTGTAGAATTAATGTGGAAGTACTTTCAAAAATCCAACTCAATATTGAAAAGACGGAGCGTAGGTATGGCCCTGAAGCAGGCGCACTAACCTACAAGCACAATGAAAGACAACAGAGATGGAGGGTCAAGCAAACACTATGATTCAAGGACATTAGGACACTAAAATCTCAGTTTCCTAGAACTTGTATTTTATAGATTATTGCATTCTTCGTGACCTGGTTTGTATCTTTTTCTGTAGAATTCTATCGCGGGTATATCTCCTACACGCTTTAACCAAAGCGTCATGCGCGCACTATATAAACCAGTAGTACCCCCACGTCCCCAGAGCTACCAGTCGAACCATCAACAGCCGTACTACTTGATACGCAAAAACTGTGCTCACAAGAAAAGCCTAGGTGTATTACATTCTCCTTATCGCAACTAAAACTTTTGATTAAACACTCACACATGTCTAAAAAAGACGATGGCACTTTCAGCAGCTGGCAGGAGCGCAATGATGGAGGGGCGCAAGATCATGTCGGGGGTTCCAAAACTGACGCATTGTCTCCCTTCGACGATGAAATTGATACATTTTTTGGCAATATCAATGATCTCACAGACCGGTTTTCAAGAATGACAAAAAAAATTGTAGGCCACACATATGACCAGCACCAGATTCTTCCTTGGTTGTTTGAGTCACGTGATGAGGACGAAGACCAGGCACATGGGGTAGACTACTACTTCAATCGCCCATACCAAAGCCGCAGTACAGACATAGAGCCTCCTGTATTCTCTAGGTCGCCTCTTAATCTTTTCAATTTGTTTAGTGAACCCAGTGGCGTGACCCCGTACGGTATGTTTGCGTATCAGGGACCCACACCTAAAGAGTTCAATACATGTATGAAGAAAGAAGGGGTGTCATTATGGGATGCCGACGGATATTGGAGGTGCTTGTTTCCCAATAGCAAAATACCAGCTAATTTCTTGGAATACAGAAAGAAACAATTGGCGGATGAAATCGTAACTAAAGAAGACTTTGAGGAGCAGGCTCTTTTAGCTCCCCCCAACAAAGACGGGGCGATCAACTTGGGACCTAAAGGTGTCTTTTTCAGGCAGTTCAATGATCTCTTGAACTGGAAAAACACCAAATATGAAAACGAGAAGAAAATATTGGACCAACAGCAGCAAGAAATGAGACAGAATTATCAGTATAACTATAGCAGTTTTACCAAAGGATCGGACATCAATAACGAGGGTGAAAAGACTTTAGTGGGGACCTCCTCAAAAAGCACCACAAATACAGAATCTTCTGGTGAAATAGTCTCGAAAGAGACAAAGACGGAGTATTTCAGTGATGGTACGTCGGTCACGAACAGCATTGTGAGACGAAAACCTCAGGGTGCTAGCACATGGGCTTCCGTGGAAGAAAAGAGCGAACATGGGAATGCAAAGCCGGGTTGGTTCTGGAACTCCAAATAATGTTACATAGGGACTAAAGCCACGGTCCGTTGGAGAAGCGTGGCAATTTTGTTTCTGTTTTTGTATTTACTTTTTCTCCCACTTTCCGTATATTCTGAATAAAATTACAATCATAATAAAGCTTGATTGTCTTTTTATTAGTTCTTTGAGAACTTGAAAAAGAGAATGCTGTTGTCCTGTTATACTGGCCAATCTAGCAAAGAATGGATTGTATTTATTATATTGACTTCCTTCATAAGTAGACTGCCAATGGAAAATGATTGTAATGAGTCCCAGGGGAACAGTTCGGGTGATACTTGAAGACGAAAATAAGTTTTGATGTAATACTTTTTTGTAGTTCAGGAAATATCACTTTACGAAAATATTACCTCCGCTAGACGTTTATTGCAATTAAACAAAAGTGAATTTTAGAATTCATGCTGAAAATTCGAAAAGGTCACGAACAAGAGAAAACCCAAGATCGGCGTCTAGATTTGAGTATCCTGGACTCTAAAAAGAGTTCATGTAATCTGAATAATACAATCTACGTCGGAATATTCTGAATCGTTTGAAATCACTAAAAATGAGCGGGCTCATAGCTGTGGGGTGTTCGCACCACGGACTACCGGGGGTGGTTCCAGCCACATGTTGTTACACCCAACCGGTATCATGGAAAGAAAATAACACAATATTTCATTTTATCAATAAACCAAGCTGTAGAAGTTTTGCAGCAAAATCATGCCAGTCAGCACCAATACACATTTTTGTTTCATTGTACGTGAGTACACATATTGTCTCAGGCCGCCTGAGATACGGGCGTGCACACAGAGTGGGTCTTTATCAGACTGAATCTCGAACTAGCGTTGACTTCCATCAGCAACAATTGAATCATGAACCCGCTCAACAAAATCATCTTTCTCCTGGCATTTCTCGCCTTTGGGTTTCTCCTAATTTTGCTCTCATGTGCCTTATACAATAATTGGCTCCCGCTTTGGGTCATTGCCATTTTTCTCGTGGCGCCGTTGCCGAACATTGTACTGTCTGCGATCGAAAGTAACAGAGATGATTTTCTTACTTTTAGCAACGACCACGGAAATGCACCAACGGCGTTGGAAGAATTTTCCAAGTTCTTCACGGGACTTCTTCTTGTGAGCGGGATCTCGTTACCCTTAACATTCTACCACACCAACTTGATCGGATTAGGCTCGTTGGTCATGAGTGTTTTGGGTGGCCTCATAGTGTACAGTGACATCAGCGTGTTCATCTGGTTTTTCAGCGAGAGTGAAGAGGCAAATGAGGATTTCAATTTCTAACCTACTGAGTGTTTCTCATACTTTCTTTTATTACAGTCCACTCTGCATGCCTATATAGGCCAAGAACCGGGTGCCGCATCAAGCTGGCTATGTTTCTGGAAATACTGTTGCTGTCAACTTCGTACCCTTCTTCTATCGATAGCCGCTCAGTTCAATACAACCAATAACAATATCAATATCACAGTCAACACCACAATGGTAACTAAGCTGCCGTTCTCTTTTGCCTTTCGCCTGAACTTGACAATTCCATTTGTTGCCCGTCGTATACGCGTATGCGACCCATCAACGCCTTCCTCTAAATCGTTGAGTAAAATCAAGTGCTCATCAAGCTCCTCGTTGATATGGGCCCCCATTCTATGCTGTGTGCGGATACTTTGATGGAGGACGTCCAAATTCTGGTCTTGCTCTAACATTTGCTGCTGATGCTGTGCAAACATCTCCTGATTTGATGTGTCTACAGACAGAAGCGTGTTCCTATCTGCGTCGACACTGTCCTCGCTTTCGGGATCGCCTGTCGAATCTTTGTAAGGTTTGAAGTTTCCCGAAGTACCCATAAGTTGGTTGCGCATCTGCGTAGTCTCATCTACTTCCTCCTCAGAATCGTAGTCCTTGAATCGCACGCTCTTTTTGGTACTCTGCTCGTCGTTACGTAGAGGCTCAAATAAATACTCCTCAATGTTGATGTACACATCGTCTTGTAGTGGTGCAGCCGCTTCTGAATAAGCCTTTGCCACCTTGAGAAGCTCAGCAGATAAATCCTTGGAAATACCGGATGAAAGATCCTCTTGTGCATAATCAAGGCCCGCCTTGATCTTCGCCAATAGGTTGATTACATCCAAGTTGTCTAGATTTGAAGGCGTGAGGTGCAAAACGCTCACAAGTCTTTCTCTTTCATCAAGGAGGTCACCGAGTTGCTCTATATAGATATTAACTTTTTGAAGCTGAGTCTTGATGGATTTTGTGGAAACGCTCATAGTGCCCGTGTAGTTGAACAAGCACAATGATCGTGGCAACTAATATGCGATATCGGGTCACGTGAGTGGGGAAAGAAAAGGTTGTGCCATAACCTGTTTTTTCAACAGCTTGGGGCCATTTTGTACTAGTTATCAAAGTTAGAGAAACACTTATAACATAATGAGGCTGGAGGCTTTGAAATGTTTTTTTTTTTGGACCGGTGTGTTTCAATTTGATGGCGCATATACCCGATCCAGTCTGGTCGTGCTAGAATGAAGCGATAAAGTGATCCCAAAACCGTCATTTCACTTTTTAGGTAGTCCCTCTTTCCATCTATTCGAGTCTCACACTGGGGTTTCTTCATGGTATATTTGCTTGCTTTTTTTGCTGGAATTAACTGCGCTCGACACTCCACTCTCGAGGGTATAGCGTGGATGCAAATGTTGTTTATTGAGTGTGTTAATTGCACCGGCTTCGCTCCTCTGATTGAAAAAATGCACTACGCTGCGTAAAGTAATAAAATGATTGTCAAGAGTTGTGTTTGATAATCAGGGCTTTTACCAGCGAACCCCACATGACCCTTGCATGTTCGCTTTTTGGTCACAAGGCCTCCAATACTATTCGCTAATTTTGCATTGCAGGTGAATAAGAGATACATTGGAGCCAAGAGGACCAGGTGATATGTTGACAGAAGTACAAGAGTGAATTGTGGGAAAAACAGTCTTGAGGCCAATCTGGAACAGGTCCTTTACGAGTGCTGATCCGTGAACCATGGCTCCTCCTACAAAATATTACTAGAAGACGGAAGTGTTACAGGACATCACAACTTCAGCAGTTGCCCTGACAAACAAGCCTGGTGAGGTTTCTTTTGGCCACCGGCAGCAGCAAGAGGAGTGAGTAATCGTACAGCTTCAAGAGAGGAATCAAAAGAGCCCCCACAAAATAAAAATGACACCGAAGAATTTGAAAGAAACTCAAAGGAAGGGCGTGTAAAGATTCAGTGAAAGCTTCACGACTCATCTTTCTCGCGAAGGAACTGAGCAAAGGATTCACTAGCAGAAGTAAATAACCTCATGTCCCCAATCAATAGTTAAAATGCGCACGTTGTGCGACTTCAACAGGCTACATTTATACGTGGCACTGCTAATTTACGCGAGTGAAGATCTGTTCCTTTAGACAAGACATGCGAACAGGATCCGAGCCGAAAGACAGGACAGAGCCCAACGGCCTACCCCTTGGAAGGCAACCAAATTTGGGTTGTTCACGGCCATATTAGTATAATCTTTTTTTACGTATGGGATCTCGAATCGCCGCTTCCTGATTTGCCAGATCTGGCAGCCTGTGGCGCCGCGGCACCGTATCCAGAGCTTATCACCGGGGTCCGCCGGAAAAGCCGCGGTCCCCGCGTGGCCTGCTAGCAATTATATAACACGAAAGACCACCTCACCACACTCGCCCACCACATAGTTTTCCCACCCCAAGCTGGAAACCACACCAAAAGCCACAGTTTGAAACACACCCGGAACACATCCATAACACACAATGACTGCGCCAAGCCCCGTGAAGACCATCTGCGTATTTTGCGGCCTGTCGTTCGGGAAAGATAAGGTGTTTGCTGAAAGCGCCTCCAAGTTGGGCGAGCTTTTGGCTGCCAAAAACTGGGGCCTTGTGTACGGAGGCGGATCCACTGGACTCATGGGCGCCGTTGCACGTGGCTGTGCCACCAACGGAGGATATGTCCATGGCATAATCCCCGAGGCCTTGATATCCAGGGAACGGACCACCGAGGACGCATTGAACAAGAAGTTAATGGAGGGCATTGACAACCACGACGGGTCGACGCCCATTCCGGACTCTGCTGAGTACGGAAAGACCACTTTGGTCAATGACATGCACACCAGGAAAAGATTGATGGGCGAGGAAGCGCACGCATTCGTGGCGTTGCCCGGCGGATACGGGACTATGGAGGAGTTGTTGGAGGTGGTCACGTGGCACCAGCTCAACATCCACGGCAAGCCCATTGTGGTGTACAACATCGACGGGTTTTTCGACAACTTTTTGAAGTTCATTGCCGACTCCGTTGCCGCGGAGTTCGTCAGCAAGAAGAACTGGGAAATCATCAATGTTGCCACCACGGCCGACGAGGTGTTGCAGATCATCGAGAACTACGAGACGCCCGAGGGCAGATTCAACTTGAAGTGGGAGACGACCTAGCGGGTGACGCGGAAAACATGCGACACGAAAATAAGAACCGGCGGCCTGGAAGGGCGGCCGCCCAATGGGGGTCGAGGTTCGGGCGCCGAATCCTGAATTCCAAGGGAGACAGCTCTCAAAAGTACACCGGGGTGCGCACACATGTGACACAGGACAAGCGAGCCGAGACCAGGCCTGGCGATGGGAGGCGGAGGATCGGAGAATGAGATTGTTCAAAAGAGTATACTAATGCAGAAAGTTTACGCACGCGCGACCCGATCAAGGTCAGTGGAGTCGGAGTAGTGTTCTCGTCGGTGATCTCGTGAGTTTTCTAGCGTGTTGTCCAAGTGTTGTCGAAATGTGTTGTCGATAAGTGTTCTCGTGTGTTCTCGTGACTGCTGTCGATAAGTGAACTCGTAAGTGTTCGATAAGTGAACTCGCAAGTTTCTGTAAGAGAACTCGCAAGTGTTCTATAAGTAAACTCTCAAGTGTTCGATAAGTGAATTCTTTAGTGTTCTATAAGTGTTCGTCTATTAAGTATGTCAGCGTATGGTACATGAAACGGCCCGCCGCAATCAGTGGGCCTTGTGCTCGTCCTCGTGGTCGTCGGACACGTGGAACAAGTCCTCAAACTCATCGTCCGGGATCTCGATTTCCGAAAGGTAGCCGGAGCCGACGTCGTACATCATGCCCCAGACCTCGATGTCGCCCTTCTTCAACGCCATCAGTGCACTGGGGTGTCTCTTCAAGGCAAGCACGGACGCGATGACGTTGAGCTCGGCCAACTTCTTGGCACGGGCCGGCGGGTCGTCCTTCAAGCTGTTCAAAAGCTCGACGTTGGCCGCGCGGATGTGCCTGATGGGGTTCAACCAGAGGTCGAGCACACCGCCAATGCGCTTGTTGGAGAGCGAGGCCCACACGCCGCCGCAGTCGGTGTGGCCGCAGATGATGATCTTGCGCACCTTCAACACGTCCACGGCAAACTGGATCACGCCCTGCGACGAGATGTCGTTGGCGTTGATGATGTTGGCGATGTTGCGGTGGGTGAAGATCTCGCCGGGCAACGTGGCGAGGCACGCCTCGCCGGCGCGCGAGTCCAGGCAGCCGATCCAGAGCGTGTGTGGCGACTGGCCCTTGCCGTTCAACTCGAAGATCTGGTTGGAGTGGTTGTGGTGGATGGAGTCCACGAAGTACTTGTTGTTGGCCAAGAAGTCCTGCACGGACGACTCCTTGGACAAGGTGAAGGGGAAGTTGTCGTGGGCCGCGGCCGGCTTGGCGGGCAGCCGCCCGGGCTGGGCGGCCTTGGCGGCAGCCACGTCACGAGGGATGTCGGTCTCGTGATCGTGCTGCAACTGGTAGTGCATGATGTTTTCTCTGCCCATGGTTAGCGAGGAGAGGGCGAAGTGGCGGCGCGGCGGGGCGGATATGTGCGCAAACGGCGGGGCGGGGGTTTTCTGGGGCCTGGCGGTGGCGGGCGGGCGGCGGCCTTGGTCAGGGAGCGTGCGCTTGGCGGATACCGAGCACGAAGACAGGGTGGAGAGACGGGATTTCTGGGCCCGCAGGGAGAACGTGGCAAGGGAGCGCGCTGGGGAGAAAGGAGGAGTCGAGAGCAAGATGCGGCCGGGCAGCGGGGGCAGCGGGAGGCGAGCAGAGAGGCGGGCGGTGACTGGCAGCATTCACGCGGGGGCTCACGGGCGGATCATGGGCGCTTTATATCGGGCGCCGGTGGTCTCGGGGTTTTGGGCCGCGTTTTTTTTTTTGGGCACTGCGAACAATGGCGCTGCGCTGATGGAGTGGCAGCAGAGCTGTGACGTAGGCGAGCTTGCATGAGGCCAGCGCGGGCCGTGCTCGCTGTGATTGGAGCCTGGGCCGAAGATAGTGGTGACGTCGGAGGGCGGGCGGCCCGGGCGAACAGCGTGGGTTTGTGGCGAGCTGGGGGTTTTTCTTCTTTTTCTTCTTTTTTTTCTTTTCTTCTTTTCTCTTTTTTTTATTTTTTTTTGGCGGCGGGCTTGTCAATCTGACTGGTGCTGTTGCCTGGTGTTGTGTGTTAATTGGCAGTGGCCTGCCTCCGATCTCAGCTGGGGCCGCGGGCCTGACTCAGGTGTTCGCACGGGAATGCTCGTGGTGCGCTGGGTGGCCGCGCTCGTTTGGCGCCATAGGCCCCGTTCCTTGGGGCCGGGGCCGATTATGCCACCGTCAGTTTTTTTTTTTTTGCAGCCGTCCGTTTTTGCAGGCCGCCCAAGGTGGCCATGCCCGGGCACCCGGGCATGGCCGCTTTCTGGAGCCAGCGCAAAAGACTCGCCACGTAGTGTGGTTTATTGCGCCGCCACGGCCGCCCTGCACCCAGCGTGCTCTTGAGCGGGCCCCGACACCAGTGCAGGAAACACCCAGAAAAACCCTAGACGGTGGGCTTAGCGAGCAACCAAACACCGGCGCCTGGGGAGAAACGGCAGTTGACACCCGGCCGGAACTTGCAGGGCGGACCCCTTCTGCGTGCCCCGGCTGCGTAGCCCGGAACATGCCTATGTGTTTTTCGGGCGCGGAGGTGCTTGTTCTGGGCAGGTGGTTTTTTTTTTTGGTTTTCTTACGCACGAGCCTATTGTAGGGGCCATCGATGTCGTCACCGCCCCGGCGCCAAGTATGACACAGCTGACGGAAGAATCGCTCCACTTCTCGCAGCCAGTCGAATTGCACGAAGATGTGCCCATGGCCCGGCCCGCGGTGGTGCATTCCATTTCGCTGTGTTTTTGTATGGTCAGTGTGGCCTTTAATTTCGATAAACATGGCCTTTGATTTCGAAAAGCATGGCCTTTGATTCCGATAAGCATGGCCTTTAATTTCGATAGGCATGCCTTTAATCTCGATAAACATGGCCTTTAATCTCGATAAACATGGCCTTTAATCTCCATAAACATGGCCTTTAATCTCCATAATCATGGCATTTAATTTCGATAAACATGGCATTTAATTTCGATAAACATGGCCTTTAATTTCGATAGGCATGCCTTTAATCTCGATAAACATGGCCTTTAATCTCGATAAACATGGCCTTTAATCTCCATAAACATGGCCTTTAATCTCCATAATCATGGCCTTTAATCTCCGCGGTCGTTCCTCCGCCCGTTGGCGTGGGCCGGCACTTGCTTGCGCCCGGCCCGAGGGACACGTCGTAGCAGCTGCTGGCGTAGGGAGCTGACGTCAAGCGCTTTAAATTAACACAAATGTCCAGGGCCTCTTTTCACGGTATGTTTCCTGGTGGGCTGGACGTGGTGCAGGTCATGTGACTGAGACCTTCAGTCGCAGTCCTCGGGACAGGCATACTCATGACATGCTTTTGTTGACGCTGGGGCAAGAAAGTCCGTACGGCCAGAAACCTGTCCGTTCTCAGCGCAGGGTATCTATAGCATATATAGAAAGATCCTATAGCCAGTACATCAGCAAAACCACACAACATAACGTTTATGCCGTTTTATTTGGACTAAAAGATGACCAACTAGTATGCTGGTTGGGCCGGAGATCATATCACCAGATTTATTATCTTAAATAACAGTTGATTGAAAAATAAAGTAATGATGCTTTGCAATGAATGACAATTACGTAAACCTGCTTGAAATTTAATGGATGACTTTGTGGCTCAATCATAACATATAAAGCGAATATCATTAATTAATGTAAATAGTAATAATCCTGTCAGCAGTGGTGCACTGCTTCTCTGCCATCGATCTCACTCATAGATATGACCCGACCTCCGAGCAGACGGCTGCTGTGCTCACCACCTGAAGATGAGCACCGATACCGTTGCTTGAATTTAAACAGCTGGGAGCATCAACTGAAACACCCATTGAAACACCCACTGAAAACCGATTGAACAAATTCTGCTGCCTGATTGCACCCGTGCACCACATTCTCTGGTCGTGCCAACGCCTAGAAAATACAAGCGTCACGTGACACCGTCCCCCCGAAGACCTCGGGCGCGAAAAAAAAAACGCTCGAAAATTTTTCCTACCCTTCTTCTTTTCCTCATCACACTCCGACATGTCCCGTCCTCAAGTTTCCGTTATTTCCGCCGCCGGCGAGAAGACCTCCGCTCAGTTGCCTTTGCCAGCTGTGTTCGCCGCCCCAGTTAGAGCCGACATTGTTCACTCTGTTTTCACCAGAATCAACAAGAACAAGAGACAGGCTTACGCTGTTTCTGAGAAGGCCGGCCACCAAACCTCTGCTGAGTCCTGGGGTACCGGTCGTGCCGTCGCCAGAATCCCAAGAGTTGGCGGTGGTGGTACTCACCGTGCCGGTCAGGCCGCTTTCGGTAACATGTGTAGAGGTGGTCGTATGTTCGCCCCTACCAAGACCTGGAGAAGATGGCACGTGAAGGTTAACCAGAACGAAAAGCGTTACGCTACCGCTTCTGCAATTGCTGCCTCCGCCGTCACCTCTTTGGTTTTGGCCAGAGGTCACAGAGTCGAGCAAGTCGCTGAGTTGCCTTTGGTTGTCTCCAACGACTTCGAGTCTATCTCCAAGACCAAGGACGCCATTGCTGCTTTGAAGGCTGTCGGTGCCAACAAGGACATCATCAGAGTCATCAAGTCCAAGAAGATCAGAGCCGGTAAGGGTAAGTTGAGAAACAGAAGATTCGTTCAAAGAAAGGGTCCTTTGGTTGTCTACGCCAACGACAACGGTCTCACCACTGCTCTCAGAAATATCCCAGGTGTTGACGTTGCCCACGTCTCCCGTTTGGGCTTGTTGCAGTTGGCCCCAGGTGCTCACTTGGGTAGATTTGTCATCTGGACCCAGGCTGCTTTCGAGTCCTTGGACTCTGTCTACGGTTCTGATGCTACCCAGTCTGTCAAGGTTGGTTACACCTTGCCAAGCAACGTTGTCTCTAACACTGACTACAAGTCTTTGATCAACTCTTCTGAGATCCAGGCCGTCGTCAGACCAGCCAAGGAGGCTAACACCAAGAGAGCCCACACCTTGAAGAAGAACCCATTGAAGAACAAGCAGGTCATGTTGAGATTGAACCCTTACGCCAAGGTCTTCTCTGAGAAGAAGTTGGGTTCCCAAAAGGTTGAGAAGAAGACGGCCAAGAACACTCAGTTCGCCGCTCTCTTGAAGCAATAAGCGCGCTGCTGTAGGCTTTCATAGTATTGCTTATATAGTCAAACGCTTATACTAATACTTGTGTGAGTTACTAAAATACACGAGCTGAACTCCAAAAGAAATGTAAGCATTGTGAAAACAAAAGGACAAGACACGCTTGCCCAGGGTGTAAGCTTGTTCACGCATATAACCGTTCGATGAAATACCAGTTGTATTGATTTTGTGATGCTGAACTGCAGAATCTCTGCCCACGGTGGTCAAACCATAACACTTTAGATACACGAGACATACAGTGCGGTATATTATCGGGTGATTCAGCATAAATCGACCTGTCTATTAGTGTCTGCCTCTGTGTTGAACAATTCGCGACCTTTGGGTTTGTTCTTTCAAAGGGAACACCAATAAACTGTCAGAATCACGCGCACAATCGAGAGTATAAGAATGCAAGAAAGTGGGACGATGTGCATTCCACAGGTCTTTCTGAAGTATGGAAGCAACTATATATCACAGTAGTATTTATTAATACAAGAGCGCAAAATAAGCCGATTTTTCTTCATAAATACTCTTGTGGGAGCGACTGCAAAATGTAGGGGAAACCGAGACTGGTTGTTAAATATTTAGGATTCGAGCGGGTCGGAGATCTCGGACTCAAGCATTATGCAGTGCCGATATTTCTACTTACGCTTTCAAAGTCTAATCTTATCAAACAAATAAACCTGGATCTTCTGCTCCAATAGAGAATAAGAAATCGAGTCGCCACACCAGGAACCATCTCAGGTCATAAACATTATGAATGCTCAATGCGCAGCTAAGTAGCTGCATACACCACTAGCTCATCAGTAATTGAATATCTCCTCAAGTTCTCTTGCCAAGTGTTTTGCGATGAGAATACGGTTAACGTCGCACGACTTCAGAAAAAAACGTCACATTCAACCAAATACTCTAAACCATACATAACGGAAGACACTTATGACACTAATGGCAACACATTCTTTTCAAACTGATTGATCACATTTCCAGCAGAACTGTACTCACAGATAGTATACTGGCGCCAAATGTTGTCGCAGGCAATCATGGCACACCCCAAATTGGTCGTTGATTTCCAGATGAGCTGAGTAAAATGGCCGGTCGCTTCACTAAAGCCAGGTTTTGAGTAGCTATACAAGCTAATTTCATCGTACCATGCGTCAACTGGGGCCGCCCCGCCGACGTAGCCTGCGGCCAAATTTTCACCGTACGTCCCGTTGGAATGGATAAGTTTCTGGACTTTACAAAAGTCCGCCTCGTCAGCATATTGGGCTGCATATTTTGCTAGTGTGGAGTTCCACGTCAAGTCACCGACCCCGTGCAAGGCCCTTTTGATATTGTGTTCCTTGAGAATTTCTGCTTCGAAAGAGCTGAGAGAGGAGGTAGCGGATGAAGACGGACCCGAAGATGTGGTTGATGTGGTCAAGGTGGCTGGAGCTGTGATTGTGGATTCAACAACAATCCCGGAAGGTACCGGTACCGCACTCTCAGTAGAAACGAGCTCCGACGAGATTGTATAAGGCGTCCCGCTGACGGTGCTCGTGACGTACTGTGTCATAACGACAACCGTCTTTGTGACTGTTATAGCTGCTCCGTTTGTAAGTGCAATATATGATGCAAGAAGAGTAAGGGAAAGCTTCATGTCGTAGTATTGGTATTTTTGCTAGTAGTGACTTATTTTCCTAGAGGGTGGATGAATGTCGACACAAAAGAATGAAATGGCTATAGGTCGTTAAAGGAGTGCAAGACCTGGGGAAGCAAAAGATGTATATGGAAAAAGCAAATGGCTGAGAAGGTTGAAAGATCCAGCCGCCTTTTTATAGAAGTCAGGAAACACGCGGTTCTGGTGGTTGTCTCAAACAGGAGCTTTAGCCACCATGTATCGCATGCAGAAGAAGCGACGGTGCATTGCGCGCCTCGCGGACCTTGTATTGTTCATTGAGTTTTGTGCGGAGGAACTGTATGGGGACTCAGCCACTGCCTGTTTGGTACATATAATGTATACTGATACGGTTGTCTATTCGGTGGCTTAGATACAAAATCGCGGCACTGGCCAGCATTCTCAGTCCAGATCGGAACACAATATCTGAGACTATCGGGACTTTTTTGGTGCTACTATTGCCTGTTTGGGAGAGTGAACGTGTTTTCTTGCATGATGTGATTTATGGAAGTTTGCTTTATTACGAAAAAAAAAAGATGAAGCATTCCAAATAAATGATGCGTGGTATCTTCATCAGGAAACGTCATCCGGCTTTGTGTTTGATAAAAACTCATCCATGCTTTACTCAAGTATTGCTACTTTTTGAAGTAATTGCGTGGTTTGTAAACAGAGTGTCCAAAACTCGAAGGGGCTGTTTGCTGTTTACCTTTGAAGGGTGGGCCCAAAAAACGCGTGTTCATATTAAGCATGCACATAATGCTTGGCTCGACCAGCATGAGCTTCGCCACACACACACCTGCTGGACATATGGTGCATATAAACTTTGAAATGAATCGTGTGTGCATTAATCTTTCTGAATCTGAAATCAGCACCTTAGATGGCCAAGAATTGTATTGCGGGCCTGATATCCCTTTCGGAGATAAAAGATACATACGCTTGAGAGAAATACCTGGTTCTTACGGATTTTTCTAGCTGGGCGAATAGCTGGACGAAGATCCAGTTCAAACAAATGAAAGAAGGAGTACAATGCGAAACGCCCTCAACGCGATTTCAAGGAAAATCTGGTACCCAAGTTTCTAACCGGGAAAGAAATTCCCTAGCAAACCGATTTCGAGTCAAAGGCAAGGCTGTGCGAGTACATGAAGACCATTGAAAATGGATGAAGAGGAGAACATGTTTTGTTAGTTTTGCCTCCCGTGATTCAATAATGAGACGCCAGAGTAGCGGACACTAAAACAAGAGAAAAAATCATCAAAAGACTCGTCACATTTTCTCTTAATCTGACTTCTTGAAGTTTAGTACTCAGCTTCTTTGTTTTGATGAAGACCAATTTAGGATATGAGCTCCCCTGAATTTGTATCGTAGGGTTTCTCGCGTATCTCAAAACAGCTTTATCATGGAATGTGTTGTGAGAAACTTGATGACATACCTTTTTTTCTTTTGTGTCTGAATTAGGCAACAAGTACATTTTTCTTGCAGACCTATATCTAACTTTCGACTTTCTGATGACTATGGAGGAAATCTGTATTCGGACACGGCTAGAATTTCTAACAGTGTCTCGCGTTTGTTTCATCCAAAAGCAATCTTTCTATTTTGTTCTTCCTCACACGGAGTATTGAGATTGAAATCCTTGTAAAAGATTCCAATTTACACTATTCTATATTGCGAGGATCAACTTAGATTGCCTCTTTTTCAGAATATGGTGAATTCTGATTTATGTGATGAACAAACATGCTCAAAGACGACAATCCGACGAGGACCATAAGACATGAGCAGTGAAGTATAGTGGTAATGAATTACCAGAAACCCAGCTTTCTGAGCGCTGAATGGCAAATATTAAGGGAATGGTTTTGTATTGCCTGATCAAGGCACATTCGATATGCTATGAACCTTTTTCGACAGTATTCAAGATAAAGATAAAAGCTTCATGACATAAAAGCTACGCCCCAGCCTTTGAAGCATACATACACATATGTGAAGCTGTAGGCCTCGATGCGTGACATTCGGTCATATTATCCCCCTTCAAAACTGATTGCTGTAACTATAATGCAACTTTGCGAGGACATTATGACATCAAACAAGGTAATACCTCCGCCATTATTTACGTATAATCAAGATCAGTTTTCAATCCAAAAAATAGCAAGAATGATGAAGGTTTCATTGCGACTTTAAACTCAGAGAAAGGGGCTTCCAAGAAGCAGCTTGTATCAGAAGGGCTGAAAAAAGGTCTGATTTGAAAAGAATGGCAGCTTCTCGGGGAAATGTCCGATGTAAATAAGTTTCGAATTTTGTTATTCAAGCTTAAACAGCATTTTTGGTAATGTTGCGATAAAAGATCAAAAATATTTTTTTGCCGAGGTGTGTTTCACAAAGATCTATTATGTTTTATCCTTTTGCGGAGAACAGTTTTGTAAGTCAGTGCTTGCTTTTCTTAGTATGCGATATATAATGATAATTTGAAAATGAAGATGGCGATGATATTCCTTTGATGGTTGTCTTTTGTTTCTGCGTTTTTAATACAGAGATTGCGCCTAAAGTTACGCTATATGAAAACAAAAATGACTTTATAAATGTTATTGGTATTTTTCCTACAGAAAATACAGGCCCGATCATCAAAATATATGAACTTTCTTCCAAATGCAAATAATCGTGACCATATAAGACAGAAAATTTTGAGAGTGATCCGGGTTGATTAGAAGGAGCATACTGATCATGAGGTTTGATACAGGGTTTGAAATCTATGCTCAGCACATTTAGGGGCCGGCGTTTGACTATTGAATCAATCTTGATAACCGAGGAACTCAGGTATTTCGAGCGTTCTGTTACTGAGTACACGCATCATACCACTGTGTTCCGAAAAGAATCAAAGGTGAGATTCTTCTCGTTGTGTTCATATTGCACCCGGTCAAACCAATGCTAAAAAACAAAAAAAAAATAATTTGACGGTCCGAGTTTTCAAATGTCTCCTTGGACAACCTTACAAATCTTTTTTACATGTGAGAATATCACAGGGACTATTCCATGCCACTAATGTGCGGTAAGATAATGAGCTGACTTATAGGACGAACAATGCTCGAGATCTAGTTGATTTCCATATAAAATGATGACTAAATAAGAATCTATCACGAAAATGGAGCTACCTGTTGGACCAGAGAAGTCAGTTCTTGGACTTTAAGCTGATGCTTATTCTTTCAGAATCGCGAGGCGAACCATACGAACAAAGAAGGCGAGAAGCAGCATCAAAAGGAGCACTCCAGACAAGAAAATGCAGAGAAATAACCGGGCTACAAGCTCGCTCGATATCTTTAGCAGTTTCAATCACCGTGCGGCCGTGAATCTATCACACTACTTTTTCGTGACATAAACCTTGCTCACTAAAAAAAGATGCGGTTGGATCCACAAATTTTGTAGGAGATCAGTTTCACGTGATGGAAAAAACAGCTCGAATCCTGGAAAGCTGAGGACAATCCAATGAAACATAGCAGTAGTACACAGTACCCGCGCAGTGTAAGAATATGAAACAGTACTCACAGGAAACGCGTTGTATCTAGAGATGGCCAACCGTCTGCGTTCAAGTCACAACGTCACATGATCAATACTCTATGGGGATGGTCGAGTTTTACTGATTCAGGACCCGAAAGCAGAAACCGCATTTTGTCCCACTTGATTCGACCGGCTGGTGTATCGAGAACATACTGGATGATTGTTGAAAACACAAAATTATTGGACGGAATCAGACCGGAGCCGTAGAACAGAACGCACTATATTCGAGCACCGCTCGATATCTATGAGTGGACCAGTTAGCGTCGCGCATTTCATTCAGTCGAGTCGTTCCTGTACGCTGTCAGGCGCACTGATCGCCGAGCCCCTGGCCCCTCATCTCAGCCAGATTCGCCTTCAACGAACAGAAAAGAGCAAAGAACCCTGACTACAACCAACAAAACCACCCCAACAAAGAAAACAATACCCAAAGATACCACAAGAAAAGAAAAGAAAACAAAACAAAACCCCAAATCAAAAATAACAAAGGCAGAAAACAATGTCAAAAAACAATACCAAACCCACCAAAGAGGGACACTGGTGAGAACGAACGGTCGCACGTCGCCGCCCAAAGAGACAGCACCAGCGAACATAGACGTGTAAAAAGCGCACCCCTCACTCGGCGCGGACTCGTCTGCCAGACCAGGGCGCACCGGCCTGCACACAGTCCCGGCTTGACGTGTCACGTGCCCGGCTGCGGGGCCCCCGCTGTGCGCGCAGATCAACTTGCGCGCGGCTTCCGCCATTATATAGGCCGACAAGTCGCTCCTAAGACCAGCTCGATATTCCAGGAAAGCACCACAAACACTACATTTTCCCTCCCGTTTTTGAATCCACATGTTCAAAAGTTTGCGCCACAAGGCGCTGGCCCTCTCGGCGGGGTCGCTGCGCTCCCCGGCGGAAAACATGAAGCCGGACCCTGCGGTCCATGCTGCGGTGCTTCTGCAAGTACACGCCTTTGAAATCGCTCTCCAGGCTATGGATTTGTTGCTCGACGACCGGAATACAGAAGGAGTGGAGTTGTTGAAAGCAGAACACGCAAAATACAAACGCGAAAATGCAGACCCGGCGGCGGTGTTCCCGTTGGCCTTGGGGGTCATGGAGTTCATTGAGGCCACGTTGGGGTTTGAGACCGACGTCATGGACCGCGCCCGCAAGTCACTCGGCGAGGCGGAAAACGCATCGTTGGCTCACGCAAAGTACAGCCAGAAGGCGGGGATTGCCACGTCTCACATCTACCCGCCAGGCACAGAGTTCCAGGTCACGTACGCGGAGCTGTCGCTTTTGAACGCCTTGGTCATGCTTTTGCAGGAAAACAACACCATGATGGACCAGGCCAAGGCTCTCTTGAAGTTGCGCAAAGCCTACCAGATCCTCGACGCCACGTACAAGAAGATCAATGACCTGGAGCCCTTGTTCAGCAAGAACTTGGCCAAGTTCCGCAAACAGTCGCTGAACCACTCGTTCAGCTCTGTGGATCTCCCGGGCTTCACCATTCCGGACCCGGCAGCCCGCCCCGAGCTGGCGCCTGCCACAAAGAGCCTCTCTGCGGACAAGCAGCTCATGCGCGACTTGGAACGAGTCTACCAGATGCGCAAGGCACGCATCGAGGGCACCAGCATCAATGTGAACGGAGGAATGAAAGTGCGTGCGTCGCAGGTGAATTTATTTGCTGACCTGGCGCTGCTGGTGGGGTCGCTTGGCAGCAAAAACGGCGCCGCCCCCCCCTTGGGCGCCCCAAGATCAACACGCGACCCGGGCCCCGTGCCTCAGGTCAACGTTTCTTTCTTGCAGGATGAGCCAAAGGCCGCTGCTGATGGTGAGGACAGCGAGGACGACGATTTTGCCGACGCGTCCGAAGTGTTGGATCCGTCGCAGAACTCCACAGACTGGGAGAGCTCGGTGGGAAGCAACAACCTCCTGTCGCCAAAAACATGCTCTTTGCTGGCGTCTGTTATGTCGCTCGACACCTTGTTGAGCTCGTTGAGCACAGAAACGAACGCCGCCAGCGACCTGCATTTGCACGTGTCCACCATTGACGAATTCATTCACTCGGGCGTGCAGTTGTGTTTCGGCATTCTCCAGGTAGTTCTCTCCTTGATCCCGCCTACAATCGGGAAGGTGCTTTCTATTGTGGGGTTCAAAGGTGACCGTACCACTGGTTTGCACATGCTCTGGCGTACAGCCATCACCGCGCGGAACATTCACGGGGACTTGGCGCTATTGTTTCTCTTGGTATTCTACGACGGGCCTATCCAATTTGTGGATACAGGATTCCAGCTCCCGGGGCACGCAGACGAGGATGTTACTGATATCATTCAGTTGAAAGACCGCTCGACTGTGTCTGATACTGAGCTCCTCAAGATAGTCGACCATCCGAAACTATACACCCCACAGCTTCTTAAGAAGGCGAGGGAACTCTTCCCAAATAACTGCTTGTGGCTTCTCCAGGAAGGAAGAATGCTTGTGTCACTGGGTGAAATCGAGCAGGCCTTGCATATGATGCAACGCTTCACGGACGACCCAAATTCCCGTGTTGAAATGGAGCAAGTTGAGGCGATTTTCACTTTTGATCGTGCAATCTTTTACACTTTTGTCCATGACTTTGATAGTGCTGCTCGCGACTTCACGCGTATGTTGGAGATCAGCTCATGGTCGCTGGCCGTGTACTTGTTCGTGGCCGGGGCTTGTTATTTGGAGAAATGGAGAAAGATTCAAGCGGGACTTCTTGAGTTCGATACCGTGGAAGAGAAGAATGAGAAGCTCGCATTTTATGAGCAAAAAGCCGACTATTACTTAAAGCTTGCACCCACCTACGTGCCAGGGCATGGAGAAAATGCATCGAAGAAGGGGGGAATAGGAGGCTTAGGCAAACAGATGCCGTTTGATAAGTTTGTGTTGAGGAAGACAAAACAGATTTTGTCCCGCATGAAAGCCTACCCGCGCTTGCTGTACATCGAATGCGTTGGCACGTCTCTTATTTTGGAGTTAATCTACTTCTGGAATGGATACTCGAGAATGGATGCGGAAAAGTTAAAGCAGCTGATTCGTATGCTAGACTTTTCTATCGGACCTCATGCGAAGTTCCCCGAGACGACTGACGAGGCAATGATCAGGCAATTGTTCCAGAGTATAGCACTCAGACAGAGCGGGAAGGTGAATGAAGGATTGAATCTTTTGGACACGCAGGTTATTTCCAAGTACGTGACGCAAGATTCGGCAAACTTGCCGTTCAAGTTCAGGAAATTGACGTACTCGCCCTACCTCTATCCCACTGCTCTCCACGAGAGGGCGTCGTTTGCGTGGAAACTCCAGTTCCAGAGTGACACGAGGCGTGCTGTCACCGAGAGCAGTGCATGGTTGAAGAAAGCAGAGACAGTGTCGGATGTTGGAGATTACGAGTTAAGTAATCGAACAAGCATGGCAATCAAGGCTGCCAGTGAACGCTTGGAACAAATGAGGGAGATACTCGACAAGGAAGAATGAGTTTTACGAGGTGGATGCCATCCCGGGAAAAGCATATGATTCGCCCAGGCAATGAAGACTTTGGTTAGCGCTAAAGGACCTTACAGAAGTAAATAAGAAAAAGAGAAAACAGAGAAAAATAAAATATGAACAGCTTATGCGACGTGTGCGTTATTTAATACATTCATGGATACAAACGTCTTCACTAGCTAGTCAAAGTAATTGTGTACCATGGTATATGCAACGTTGAAGTGGAAGAGCACACTCAACAACCAGGCGATCGCTAGCACCGGGATCACGCCCGCAAGAATCGTCATTTGGAGAATACGCGCAGGATTTGTTGTGGTCGACGAGGCGTCCCGCGTATAGTAGGAATTGCTAACAAAAGGCAACGAGTTGAAGCCATAGAACGTCACCACGAAGTAGTGGCCCACCGCCCCGAAGTATAGAGTGTTTCCCAACAACATGGAGAGAAACGAGTCCTTGATGGTGAGGATCGGAAGAAGAAAAAACTGCACCAAGTAGAGCAGGCACCAGATGACAAGGAACGAGTTACAGTGGATGTCGAAGCAGAACGCCCAGTCGATGTAATTGATGTTGAGCCTCGATGCCCGCAGAAACGCGGTGAACACACTGAACGACGGGTTGAACAACTTGTTGGACACGATCCACGCGATCGTCGCAATTACGGCGCCCGACACGTAGAAATCAAACACAACCATCGTGACTACAAGCTTGACTATGTCCCACACACTGGGCAGATAGGTGGCACCCCACGCTATGGCACTGACCACCAAAAACCCCGTCACGAGGATCAAGAACGACGGGTCGTCCCGCAGATACAGCTGCTTGCCGCTGTGCTTGTACGTGTAGTTTGAGCGGTACATCTTGCGCGGGTTGACTATTAGGTGGAACACTTCCCATGTCGCGGTCTCAAAATCGAGCGTTTTGGGCCGCACCAACCGCTTGGCCAATTTGCGCCAGTGTGCCCATGTGGATGCCTCTGGCCCGAGGTTTCGGGCCGGCGTCAAATGGTGGTTCCCGCTGCGGAGCGTGTCTGTGAAAGACGCTGCAGATATCAGCGCTGGCGTTGCCTGTTCGCGCGCAGAAGTTGCCGTGTGTGGAAAGAGGTCCTGGTAGGTGTACGGCAAGGATCCTCGGCTGGTCATGGCGTGAATTGAGCAGACAACCAGGTCTATTCTAGCTGTTTTCGCGGGGTTCTATGGAGTAGCAGACCGCCTGGTCTGGCTCCAGTGAGGCTGGCTCAGCTGCGAGGGTTCCGTGTAGATCCAGGAGGCACGGGTCTAATGTGGCACCCGATTCAGATTCTGGTGGCCGGGTTATTTCGGGCCGTGGACAGTTGGAACACGAAAAACACACTTTGTGGTATTGTACTGGATGGTATCTGCTTTTTTCCTTTTTTCCTCTTGTTTTTCTTTTATCCTTTTCTGTGACATTCTGCTATTTGTTGTGCTCTGCCTTGGTGCAGTTCCTGGTGTAAACCAGGCCTATTGAGCGCGCCTCATATTAGTAGATGATCTATTAGCTAGACCCAAGGCAGTAACTCGCCAAGTCTGATCCACGTTCTCTTCGGGAATCTGATATGCCCAGCTATTGCAAATGGGCTAATTGTATCTTAAAGATCATGGACATATCATGCTGCAGAGATGCCCGGGTGACGACTTGATCGCCATGAACCAGACATCTCCGTAAGTACTGTTATAGTCGTTACTCTGATTTGCTTTTGTCAAGACAACCTTGTGGAATCTTCTATGTGAGTGAGGTCCGGTCCAGAGTTAGAATTTGTGTCTAACCCGCGACACAGCTACGTCCTGGTCAGTAAAACGTTCTTGGCCATCTGCATCATGTCTGCACTGGCGCTCTGGTCTCCATTATCAACCAGGTTCCCAGCGTCGAAAAACACGTCTCCTGGCTGTGTTTCAAAACTTTGGTCGTGCCACATTTCGTGGAGATACGACGCCACATTATCCTTGGTGATCCGGGACTCCAGCGCCCGCCGATCGCCCGCCTTCATTGCCAACTCTGCCTCATTTCGCTTGATCGAGCCAAGAACACCAGCCCGGCACGCGATATTTGTTCTTCTGCCTTCGGTGTTCTCAGGATGACTGGAAAAGCGAAGCCGGATTTGTGTCCATTGCGACACAACGGACTCGTGCTGGATCTTGACTGCATACTCGGGCAGATTTCTAAGACCCCCCATTGCTAATGTGGCTGTACTGGCGGCGCTAGCTGCTTCTTGACGGAGACGAAGCAATTTCATGTCTAGCAACTTTTGGTGTGTTCTTGTGGTGGGCCTGTCTAGACTCGAGCCAATAGAGACTGCATCTATGGACTGCTTGGTTTCTTGCGCTTTTTCGTGCCCCTTCATGAAATCTAGCACGGAAGTGGCGTCCGCTAGCCCCGGGATTTGGAGGTATGCTTCCTCATAGTTTTCCTCATAGAGCGCCTCCAAATCCTCGGATTTATCTGCTTCAATGAGCAGCGCACGCTCGTCTCCACAGACTTCTGCTTCGCTGTCGGATAGTCCCATCGGAACAAGCGAAAACATCGAGTTGTGGTTGCTTTTCTTGTCGGGGAATCGGCCCACAGAGCGCTCACGGGGATGAAAGTCACGTAAAGATGAGCGAGAGCTGCCGCGTGAAGTCTTTTCGGATCGTAGGTCTCCACGCTTGGACTCATTAATCTCGATCCCAGCCTGATCGAAGGAATGGGTTTTGCCCGTTGGTCTATGGATTTGTGTCAAAGGCGAAATGCTGGCCTTTTGTGCGACATTTAGATCCTCGTGGGGCTCAGATATGGATTCATTGGTCGGCACAAGCACATTGTTTATCGGCTGGTTTAGGCTATAAGTCCCCCAGCGATTATCGCTAATTCGCCCGACGACAGGCGCTGCCACCATTGGTATATTCCGATTTTTTGGTGTCATGTGACTTCGTCCACTGTTAGTAAAGCCATCAACCCTGGATGCGGAGTTCACCCGCGTGAGTCCATTTCGTAGTGCTGTTTGTCGTAAGTCTTCGCTAGTTCGTGGCTCACCAGCGTTGCTTTGTAGTTGGTAGGAATTCGCCCGCCGGGAGATACTGGAAGCTGTGCCTTGTGGTTTAGCAGCTGTGTTAGAGGTTCCACGCAGGAACTTAACATTTTCTCCTTCCTCAGCGGCCATTTCCGCTCAGTTTAATGAGGGATCGAATGAAACTCTTATGTCCGTCGCCCATTGCTTATCAGCGAGCGTGCGAATCTCATTTATGCTTGCGCTTATCTTGCATGAGCCGATCCAGAACTGTACACAAACGAACACCAGATAATCGCATGCCCTGAAAAGACTATATACACCCCGCTTATATATACTCGGATCAGCACTCAGCATCGTTTATGGCTTGCGAATGAAGAGCTTTTATTGTATGTTTTTTTCCTCCTTTGTAATTAATGTTTTTAATATTGAAATAATGAATAGGCTTTAGAATTGGCATTAAGAGTGAAGGAGCTCAACAGAGCAAACAAGAACTCGTTTCAAGAAGTAGATAAGCCTGGAAGAAAGATTTGTCCCACTCCCGCAGTTTTTGGCCAAAAAGTTACAATCTCTATTGACAACAAAATGAATTTGACAGTGATACTGATATTGCTAAATATATATAGTTGTGTCAATCGTGTGTGAATGTACCGGCCCCGGGGGCCGTTGGTTTACCGTAAACGAGTAGAGCTATTCCAGACATGAGGTTTTCGAATGTTCGCATTGCTTTGAATCTCAGGCGAAATAGAGTGATCAGACAATTACACCGCTTGTTTATTTTGTGTTCCTATAGATGAAGTAAGTTAAGGCGAAAGACGAAAGGCTCAAACTGATTGAAGATGTGGGGGAAGGGACTTACAATTTCTTTCAACTTTTAATCTGTGTTAGATTTCAGAAAAGAGGCATACAGAAGAGGCATAAAATAATAACAAATTGACCGCATAATAGCAAGAAAATGTTTGATTTGAGAATCGTTTAAAAAAATCACCATCAAGAATTTGATATAAACATAGATTGCTATCTTTATTGAGGTAGACGCCTTCAAAGGTTGTTATCAATTAGCAGTGTCCAAATTGAGCGTTGGGACTGGAAGATTCTGGATGGTGGCAAAGTGGAAAGGGGTAATTTGCTTAATCATTAAAGAATCCTTCTCCCAAACTTTTTTTAAGGTACGCACAGCAACATTGCCTCAAACCTACCAAAATTTCATTGAATGATGGTAGCTAAACTTGACTGTGAAATCATAATGAAGCGCTTCGATATAAAGCCTGACACGATACAGTCTAGAGTACAACAATCAAGTAAAGAAAAAATAAACCTGGCAATGATTGTTTTGAGGAATAAACTGATTTATGAGACGATTTTACGATCTGTCAGCAATCGTGATCAAAAGTAAAATCACATATAGAACAAGTGAATGATGTATGGTGGCGATAATAAAAAAATTGTGCTGGTTGTTCTTTTATTCCGCCAGAAGTAAATGAAGTGATGGAAAAGCACGAATAAAATTTAAAGTTCAAAGTGGAAGAATAATTTATTGAAATTGATATTTGACTAGGATTTGGAATTTCATTGCAGTCAGAATGTCTACCTTTCTTATTGTATTATGTTATGTAAAAGAGACTAGATTATTATACCAAAGTCATCATTTTATCATCTTACCTTATAGAATTAAAGTCACGGGATGGATGGTGGCTCGCTCACTCTGATTAAGAAAAGACTAGTTACTTGCCAGAACGAAGGAAGTTTAGATCTTGTCTGCCTTCCATGCTTAATACCACGAAAGGTTGTAAGAGATTCAATCAATCACATACCACATTTCAGAATTTGTTCCCCAACGGCTCGTTGAGATCAAGCTGAAGTCCCGGGATTAATGTCTATCAAGGAAAAATAGGGAAAGATGTCAATCAACCATAAAGTCTGCTTCTTCGAAAATTTCTAAAATAGGAGAATCAAAGTTTCTTGACATGAATGATGAAATGTTCATACCGAGTTAGGTAAAATTCCCCTACCACCCTGTTATCACAAATCATCTGTTTATTTATGACAAATATCTGTTGAACACATCAGATAAACAGCCTTCCATCAGCCTTTAGCAGTGGTATAAACTCTTCCCATTCATGATATTAAACTTTGAAATCAAGGACTTAAATTCCCTGATTTTAGCTTGGTAATTTCCAGTCTATTGACTTGAATATAGGATGTTTCTGAGCAAAAATTAGGTATCAAATTGCAAAAGTTTCTGAGTTAGTACCCAAGATCTTGTCTTTCCACATGGCTTCTGATAAATAGCGAAAACAGCAACAGTGATCTCTCTTCGAAGTGTCTTTTAGTCAAAAAAAAAACTCTTGTTGACAAAAACAATATAGTTCTTGAATTGGCGCGATGTTAGTAAACCCGAATACTGATTTTTAATCTCAAGGCCATGAAGAGTATACAGCTCTATTCGAGTTGCTACTGTAGACTCGAAATCAAATCCAGCTTCAACAAAGTTTCAGAATAATGTGCGAGATGCAAAATTATAAAAGAATGCTTCTAGGGAGAGGAAAATTGCAACGTTCCTTGCTGAAGCCCTGTATGAGCACACTCGATAAGCATGTTTCTGCGGCGCATGACCAATGATGCCAAGCTCATGATTTCGGCCCGTTTCAGCGTGATTCTGGCAGCAGTTTTTCTCGGCGAATCCAACACTTTGATCTCCTCGAAGAGCTGCGAGAGGTCTTCTACAGTTTTGTTCAAGAAATCTTGCATCCCCTCAAAAATAATGGAGAAGTTGGACTTCTTTAAATAGAAAGCAAACACGTATGTCCACATGAGTGTTTTTCTACCACTGAACAAACTGCGGATTGCATCAGAGAGAAACTGAACGTCATTCCACGAGCTTGTGCGTTCACTACTGAGAGTCTGCGCCTTCATGTACTGAAGCATACAGCGACGCACAACTTTCAACGTGTTTTTGTCGCCGTCCATGGAAATCTGGTGCACTGAGAAGCGTCGGTAAAAGTGAAGATACCTGCCAAGCGAGTACTGCTTTTCGGACTGTTTCTTCTTCAACTCTTCTACTTCCTTCGGATCATAGCGATTGCACTCGTAGTTGCTGGTCTTGTGCAAGGACCAATCACCCAAACAGATCCAGCAAAACTCGTGGGTGCACTTTCCACAGGTCATGTGATTACACCCACCGTTTTTCTCGATCACCGCCAGGCATTTTGGGCATCCCTGCGTGTTAGCGTCAATCCAGTTGACTGTTTCCGAGTCATCCTCGCAGCGTTTGACCCACGCCTTGGTGAGCCAGCAGGGACACGGCAAGTGATTTTCGTAGTGGCATGTGAAACAAAACTGGTGGGCCTGTCCACACGTGACAATGGCGACAGAGCCCAAGTCGTTGTTATTGCTCACTTCTGTATCCGTTTCCTGTAGTGACCCTCTAGCAAGCTCTACAAATTGAGAACAGTCGACGGCCGGGCACCACCGGAATTTCGAGTGCAGGGCGTCGATGGCCACACGCGCCGCATAGACCAAGAGCGGGTTTCTTAGGAGAGGCTCCTTGTCTTTAAACGCCTCATCGAGGTCTGTCAAGTGCATGTTTTCAAACTGCGCGTCATAGTCGTCCACGAGACTGCTAGTGGGTAAATCCACAAGCTCATCAGATTCGCCGGTCTGGTCGCTTTCGCCCGCGGTTTCAGATTTTGAGTCGCCTGGAATGCCCCCTGGAGTCGCAGCTCTTTCGGGTCCAGCTCCACTGTCCTCCTCTGGCGGAAGTTCGACATCCAAAAGCAGCGAAATGGCACTGTACAGCAACGTGAGTCTGCACAGCGTATCTATGCACCGCACCAAGCACCCGCTGGAGACGTTCAGAAGAATGTACCGCTTATAGCAAGGCGCGCAGAATTTGTGCCCACACAGAAGCGCAAACACAACAAGGCTCCCGGCCTCACAGCATATGGGACACATGAAGTCATCGTACTCGCGGAGTTCTGGAGTTGTGCCCCGTTTGTCGGGCAAACCACACGCATCCCTGAGCCGCGGCCAGTCGCTGAAGAAATCGCTGGTGACCTCATCCACCAGCCATTTCTTATGATGAAGAAGCAAAACCGCCTCTTCGAGCGAGAAATGCGGCAAGAAATCCCGCTGGAGGCTCCGGGCAGGTTCCACCATATGCTCATAAATATACCAGGATATACTTAGCGGACGATACGAGACTGGGCTAAGCGAATTTGGCGATTTTAGCCAGCGCTGGGGCTTGTCCACATCGATATGAGCCGGCGAGGTGGAGACCGTTTGTGCCTGCGAGGGGACACGCGAGAACTCGTCCTGTGGGTCCAGCCCCAGTGGCAGACTTTCATATGACTCGAGCGATACCTCGTCCTCGTAGTCGAAACTATATTCCGACCTATCCAGCATTTGTGTGCGTGTTTATAGGTGGGGTTCAAACGGTCTAATTTCGCCTTTGCTTTACTAAGAGGGCCTGCGCGCCGCATCGTTCTGTAGTGCGCATGGAGACTGGTGGCTGACAGTGTTTGTATTTCTGCTTGAGTACAGGATATTCCAACTCAATGTCCTGTCCACAAGTGGTTCCCAACTGGTACAGTTGAGATATCGGATTCGACATGATGTACTAGCGTGTGGAAATAAACCTTTATTTAGGAAAAACTAAAACCACTTTTGTGTCAACTGACCTTCTAAAAAGATCTCTAGAGGGAATTCTCTTCCCTTCATATACTCGTCGTGCTATTTGGTTCCGGGTAAGTGGTGCGAACTTTAATGTCTCATTTGTCACATGATTAATTAGGGCTAAGCGTCTAGTTCTCACATTCCCCCCAATCATGGACGTTCATTCCACTGAGTTTAATGAGCTTCAAAAGTGTATCGGGCGCGAGAGATTTCGTAAACATGTCAGCGATGTTATCTTTAGTAGAAACATAGTCAACCTGTATCTTGTTTTCGCGAATCTTCTCTTGCACGTACGCTGTCCGG